GGGAGAAGGGAGGAGGGGACGGGTATTTGTATACACAAGGAGTGCAATGCGCACTACCCGAAGGATGGACATATTTGAAACACGGACTTGGGGGAGGGGAACCAAGGACAACACACGTAACCTAAACATCTGTACCCCATAATATGCTGAAATAATAAAAAAAAAAAATTTGAAGAGTTTTTAAAATTTATTTAATGAATTTTCCATCTCTGTTTTGCTTATTGAATGTATATTTGTTCTATGTTTGTGTATCATTTTTGCTAATTGGAATCTAGACATTAAGAGCAATTCTTTACCTAACATCCTTATGCACCCCTGCACAGATATTTCAGGAACTGCTTTGTGATTGTTATGAATATATTGATGAGATTTCTTGAAGTTCACATTTCCCTTTAAATAGTGGTTATAAATGTGTATCTGGCTTTATTTTATATGTACTTGTTCATGTCTTATAGGGAAATGTACAGACCCTGCAGTTCCTTACATATATTATTTTGAAGTAGAAGAAAATACATCACTGAAATGTGGCATAGCATTTTCTCCCAAAAAAGTAAGTTCAGCTTTCTATTCCTCATATTACTGGAGGGTAGAGGAATTATGGGTAACCCTAACCAAGAACTTAACAAAGGTCATCTAAATTCTATCTGTAAGGGATCACTGACTTGTGAGAATGACTGCATATACCCTTTTAATTCAGAAAGATGATTCCTAGAAGTATCTGGCTCATGCTTGCATGGTGCCTCAAGAGGAGCAGAGGGCACATAGAGGGGACCTATAATTGTGTTGTCTTTGTTATGATGTCCAGAAAATTCAAGATATGGCATGTTGTAAAGAAAGGAAAGTTTAGACTAACCAAATAATCACTTATATTCCAGCCGATTTGTGCTTTGTATTTATATTTGAGTGACGTATGCTTAAATGCTCTTGGAATCACTACCTGAAATTACCAAAGACATACTCTAATGATTTAAGAGGGCTTGCTATGATACCACTTCCCTTTTATATTGTTACTTTGATGTATGATGAGTAAACAACAACAACAACACAAACAAAACAAAACAAAACAAAATAAAACAAAATAAACCTTTCCTTTCCTGGAATATGCCCAAAGGAAAGAGTATCACTGTTCATGTTTCAGGAGCCAGCTCTCATATGCTTTTGCTTAACAAATTCTGTAACAGAAATGCCAAGGAGAGAGCTTCTCCCTACCCATTATATGGAGGGGCATGTTGCTGCATCTTTCCAAACCAGAATCAAACTTCTGTATGGCAATCAGAGTATAAGATTCTTATGTCAAAAAAAATTTTTTTAATATTCCAATATGACTAGATTGATGCTTTGTACCCAATAGGTGTAGAATAGAATTAAAGTGAAAGTAATTAATAGCATAGTAAAACCATATTTAATGCTACTAAGTACTATCTTTAATAATCTAATTTTTAGTAGTGTTATTTTTACTGAAATCAAAATCTTATTTTAGAAACAATAGTAGCTGTTATTTAGCTTTCAGGAGGAAAGAAAAAGAAAGTTTGAGGACAAGTTTAGATGTTAGAAAATGATAAAGATTAGTTTTGCTATTCTTAAGTACAATACTTCAGTTGGGATATGTTTTGTGGGTTTTACACACATTTGATTAAAATGAAGTGATATTGTCTACAATGTTCATTCTTGTGTCTGTTCTAGTTTTAGATGAGCACAGTGGAAGAGAGAGCAAGGGTTACTTTTCTGACATCAAAGTAAATGAAATAATTTTATCTTATCTACAACATTAAGTGTACTCAGATATATACCATACTATTCATTTTCTATGGATTTGGTGTGAAGTAATTATTTGTCTACATTTATGAACAGTAATATTTAGGTAGATACAGTTTGTCAAGGTTATCAAGAAAGGAGAGAATATCTTTTGAATTTTTACAAATCATCTTAAGGATATTTTCTTTGGCCTAATTTAGGCTTTCAAATATTATCAGAATAGAAATATTATTTAGATTTTCCATTTAAATTTTTAGCAATTTTG